GGAGCAGGGGGACGGCCCCTCGGGGTCTGGCCAGACTGATGGGTTGTGGTGAACGCCGAAAATACTGATGGTGCAGACGTTCCCTGTGGGAGAGGAGGGGACAGTGAGGCAGGGCCTGGCAGCCTAGGGGACCACCACCCTGTCCCTCCCCCTATGTCACGGGCACCTTTGGGGATGACCCGGCCATCTGGGAACACAACGTCCTGGGCACAGCGTCTGGAAAAGACGGTGACCGGGGGGTGCAGCCGCAGACTCTCCTTGATACACATGGTCAGGAAGGGCAGCTGGGCCAGGTCGTCCCTGAGGGAACCCCCACCCCAGCTGTTATCCAGGGAGCAAAAACAGAGACCACCATCCGCTCTATTATCCGGTGAGAACTTTTCTCCCTATAACTAAAGAGACTTCAGGTGGATCCATATTTGAGAATTAGAAAAGAACCCAAAAAAGGTGCTGGCAGGTGGCATGGTGGTTAAGAGTGCTAACTCCCACATGGCAAACAAGGGTTCGAGTTCCAGACCTGGAAGCTTGCTTTCTCACTTTCCCTCTTTCTCTCTCTTTCTCACCTTGTCCTTCTCTGGTCAAAATTAAAAATAAATAAAATCAAGTCAAATAATTCTTAAAATAAAAAAAAAAAAAAAAGGACCAAAAAAATTTAGCCAGGTATTTTAAGAAACTTGTTCTGGGGGCCACCAGGTTGTTCAGTGGTTAAGGCACTGGATTCCCACATGTCCAAATGCAGCTCAGTCCTGGATCCAGTGGCTTAGACTCATGCTAGGCTTGTATTCCTACGTGCCCATAATTCCAAGAGAAATATGAAGGAGAAAGGATTTAGGCATAAAGCTATCCTCCCCCCAGGTGGCTGATTTCTCACTGCCTCTCTCTAGTGAGTGTACAAGCCCGAAGACAAAAACCTTACAAACAGAAAAGGAAACCTTTTTCTGAAGAAAAGATAATATTCAAAAGCCAACCATAAGAAAGTCAAAATTTGCATAAAATAGATATTTCTTTATGATAAGAGAGCAAAATCAAGTGTAAATGAGTAAGAAGTAAAATAAACAAGTCCTATGTTTTGCTCTTATTTATCATTGTACTAGAGATACTAGCAAATGCAATTAGACAAGGAAAAAAGAGGAGACTAATGGAATTTGAATGAGCAGGTTAAAGTATCCTTTTGGCAGAGTGATTTTATACTCAGAAAACAAAAGAATTCACAAATTTTTTTTGGGGGGGACAGATTTTTGCTATAGGGCACTCGCCTTATAGACAGAGACAGAAAGTGAGAAACTACCCCCCAAGGGAGATGGCCACACCACAACCCTTTCTCCTCCATTCTCCTCTCAGGATCTTGGGCACACACACATCTGCACCCGGCATGAGTTTAATCCACCAGGCCCAGGACTTGAATCATGGTCGACTACATGGGAGTTCAGCAACATAGCCATTATACCAACTGCTGGTCCCCACAGAATTTTTTAAAAGAGGTTTTTACCTTATGGCATGTATCCACTGGAGAGAGAGAGAAACAGAGACAGGAAGAGAGAAAGTGAGAAATCATCTCCTAGGGAGGATGGCCACACTGCAATCCCTTCTTCTCCATTCTTCTCCCAGGACCTTGGGCACACATGCACACGCGTGCAGTGTGACTTTCATGGCACCGGGTCCAGGACTCAAACCACAGTCAGCCATGTGGGACTCAAGAAATGTAACTGCTATATTATCTGCTGGCCCCTGCAAAACTTTTTATAAACATTGAAGATCTAGTAAGAGGAGTAAATTGCTTTCTTTAATCTTTCTCCTTTTCATGTGGCTATTTAAAATGTTACTACTTCAGACAATGGGTGACAAGATGGTTGAGGTGCCGGACTCCCACATGGCTGACCATGGTTCCAGTCCCAGGCCTGGTGGCTTGCTTTCTCACTTTCCCTCTCTTTGTCTGTGTCTGTCCCTGGTGAGCACACATGCCCTGTAGTAAATTGAAAAGAAAAATAATAATTATGATGATAAATAAAATTAAAATAATTCTTTTTAGCTATTTTAAAATAAAATGTTAATACCTGATACAATTAACTGGTTCAAAATTTGAATAATAATAATAATATATAAAATAAAATAATTATTTAAAGAATAATAATAAAAGAAATCTTAAAATGGTAAGCAAACACCCAGGAGTGAAGATGTTTTATGGGGAAAAATATATTTCAGAGGGGAGAGGAAGATTTTTGTTATAAGGGACACGGATAGGAAGTTCATTTACTGGCCATGTGCTAAGTGGTATTGTCTGTCCTCAAACACTGCCAGTAATTCTCTCAGTATCCCGGATCTTTCTGCCCCAAAAGCCTGCAATCTTACTCTACCACCCTGACTGGGTACCAGGTCCTGCTTTGGAATTCTGTTCCTATTCCCACTAGGCAATTAGAATAGAGTCAGGGAAAGTATCTCCCCCTGCCCCATACGCATACACACACACGCACATGCACACCCACCCCTTAGAACAAAACCAAAGAAAGAGGCTCAAGAATAGGCCACTAGGACCTGCACTCACCACTCAATCTCTTTAGGCTCGCGGTCCCTCAGGAGTTCTCGCACCTCCTGCCGGCAGCGCTCCTGGTATTCTGGATGCCTCGCGAGGTTGTACAGGACCCAGGAGAGGCCACTGGCTGTGGTGTCGTGACCTGAAGGGCAGCCAGGTGGACTTGGGTCTCTGCGCTGCTTCAGCACCGGAGTGGTGGACAGCTCCCATGCATTGAAAATAGGGGTGGGAAGAAGTAGGAAGGATGGGCAGAATGGAGTGGCCCACCAAGTCCCTGGGATGGAGAGACCCCTGCCCCCACCAGAGTCTTACAGTGGGACTCACCCCCAAACATGAAAGTGTCGGCCTCTGCTCTTATGTCCTCGTTGGACAGCTCCTTCCCATCTTCATCCTGGAGACAAGACGAGATGCCCTAGAATCGCACCAGCTCTGAGGTCTCCTGAGTCTACCCTGAGGCATCCTCTGAAGATCCATGATCCTTCCAGAAACCCAAGCCCACCTTGCACTCTTAAACTTATGGTCATCACAACCAGAGCCCCCTCACTTCAGACACCCTTATTGCCTTCCTTCCCTTTCGTTTAGTCCCTGGTGGGAGCAATCAATGATCTATGAAGATTTTCATATTCTGCACGGTGAGGGCTTTCCTAAAAAGAGTTACTAGCTGAGCCAGGTCATAGCATGCAGGTTAAGGCGCTGGATCCCACCTGGATGACTCAGCAGACCTGGGGGCTTAAAACTCACTACAAGATCAGGGCCAACAGATGGCGTAGCAGTTACATTGTTGGATTCCCACATGGCCAACTGTGGTTCAAATCCTGGACTTGGTGGCTTCAAACTCATGTCATGTGCACACGTGCCCGAAATCCCAAGAGGAGAATGGAGAAAGGATTGCAGTGTGGCCATCTCCTCTGGGGAGTGATTTCTCACTTTCTGTCTCTGTCTCTCAGGCAAGCACACACGCCCTAAAACAAAAATCTCTCTTAAAAAAAAAAAAATAGGGGCCGGCAAGTGGCATGGTGGTTAAAGGCGCTGGACTCCCACATGGCCGACATTGGTTCAAGTCTCGGACCTGGTGGCTTGCTTGCTCCCTTCCTCTCTCTCTCTCTCTGTCTCTCTCAGATCAAACTGGAAAATAATAATGATAATAATAATAAATAAAGTTAAATAAAAATAATTCTTTAAAAAAAAATTACACCAGTGATGGGGCCATCAGGTGGTACAGTGGTTGAGGTGCTAGACTTTCACATGTCAGACTGTAGTTCGACTCCTCCAGCCTGGCAGGTTGAAAATCACTCTTGGTGTGCGTGCATGTGTGCCCAAAAATCTCTGGAGAAGAATGGAAGAGAGAGGATTGAAGCATGGCCAACCCCTCTCTCTGTCTCTCTTTC